CTCTTCTGAAAACAGAATTTGTGCAATTATTTAAACAGCCCATTACTATCTGGCAATTTTTTAAATGATTAGGAAAATGAAAGCACTGATACTAATGATAGGAAATAAGCACTATAAACTTAATAAACACAGAGAGATGGAAAACATCTGATGCTCCAAGAGTGGGAAATCTCTAGCTCATGCAGCTACTCACACCAGGTAGGCAAGTATTATGAAATTCTTGTTAAAGCATCTACCTGTAAGGTAAAATGTACCTGATTTACAATATTTACTCCACAGATGATTATTTGTTAGCTTACTTAGCACTCTTTGCATTATTTCAAAAGTAGAACACATTATTTTTAAAATGTCTCTTTGTGGAGTGGTGGTGAACACCTGTAATCTCAGCACTTGGGAGGCTAGAGCAATAGGATTGCATTTTTTAAGCCAGTCTGAGCTGTCTTTAAAAAAAAAAAAAAGTCTTCAAGCTCAATCTATGAACACATACACTGCATCAAGTGATGAAGTGTCTGGATTATATTTTCAGGCTATGTTAATATGTAAAAATATACATATATTCAATATTGGTTAAGAAGAGACAAAATACAAGTTTGTAGCTATGCCAATGAATACATATTTATTACAAAGTCTCAAGCAATAAGGAATTATGGGATGATTAGATTTTCTGTAAGGCTTTTCATGCTCTTGATTTAGGCAAACAGCTTTCTGAAGCTTGGAGCTGATATTCTCTAAGAGAGCTTACACACCAATACCAGTTCAACAGGCTGGCTTCCTCCCACCTTACCCAAGTCCAGGATCCTTCCGGCATGAAAGAACAAGTCTGAACATGCCACTCAGTTGCAGATCAGGGGACAGACACAACCCTCCTCCCAGTGGAAAGAGTTAGTTCTACCAATTCACATTACCACACTGGCTGGATGTCTTTACCTCCAACTAAAAACAAAAGATGCAACACTTAAAAGACAACATTTACAGAATCCTCACAAAGGTTTAAATGCCTGTTCCAAAATGTCACACTAATGATTTTTAAAAGCCAGACAATTTATATGGCACTTTATCACTGAGTAATCAAAAGTAATTGTAGCTTTCACCCTACTAATCTAAAGAACGGCTCCCCTAATCTAGTGGGCAATGTATCCATTTAAAGGGACATACCAAAGCCTGCAAAGAATAAGCGAACTCAGCGAGTTAAACATAGCAAAGAGAAATTCCCAAGTATCTGCCCCAACCTCAACCCCTCTCTGCCTCTATCACCACTTCCCTGCCTCCATCTTCACCTCTTCTCTCTAGAACAATACCCTAAGCCACCTTTCCCAGGAATCCCCAGGACCAAAAAACTTCCAGCAGCTCCTCAATGCTTAAAGAATGGTGTGTCGTAACCCCCCCCAACTCCAGTCCAAATACTGCCTCCCTGATATTCCCACCACCCCCTAAACCACCTGTCATTCCCAAAGCTCACTCTTGTGTGCCACCCACAGTCCCCTCCCTGCTTTCTTAAAGTAACTGAGGGAACAGAGGTTAGCACAGTGCCTAAAAGGGAGAAGGGCAAGCTCTCAGTGTTAGCTTCCCTCACCATAGAGGTCTTTGGGCCTAGAGAACTCTCCTGGCTCAACCTCCAATGTCCTCCAGACAGTCAAAGTGAAACATGCTCTGCCCTCCAGAGAGGCTATCCTTCCTTTCAGACATTCCATCTGCTAGATTCTAAATTCCCTGACAATTACTGTTACTAGATTCCCATCTAACTCACTACAATCTTTTCCAGATACAATTTTCTTTCTCAGGTTGGCAGTATGCTCACAAAATACAAAATAGTCATTACCCCAAGAAAGTGGTCAAATAACCAAAAGGACAATAAAATCCAAAATAACATAGAAATAAGCTTAATTTATTTCTGGTTTTATTGTTTCACTATCACTGTACCCACTGATGAAAATAACTGAAATTCACCATATTTCTTCAACCTAGGGAATCAATAAACAGACAGACCACTGTACTCCAGATACTTTTTTATAAATATATGGTATTAAATATGGTTTTCTGAATTTAACTCTATGAACAAAATGTTATAAAAGGGGAGGGGAGGAGTGGGTTGCTGAGGATACAACTGAGGGCCTAGCACAAGCTAGGCAAGCACTCTACCACTGAGCTGCATCCCAAGTCCCACAAAAAGTGATTTTTTTAAGCTTTCATTTTTGAGTATCCTTCTGCACAATCTCTCAAAAACATAAAGCTAGAAATCAATCTTGTTGAACATAATATACTGTTTTTCAACTCCTTTTTTAAAGATAGTTATACAGTGTTCAACTATACCAGACCACTTACCATGCTTGTTAGAGATACTAAAAAATTAAAGCTATCCCCCCAAAAGCCAGTTTCATGGAAAACTCTCCTTCATTCACATTCACTTCACCTAAATATAGTCTCCTCAAAATAAGCAATTACTGTCACTAAAAACTAAGAAGTTCTGAGGCTCGCAGAGTGGCTCAAGTAAACTCAAGCAAGCGCAAGGCCCTGAATTCAAACCCCAGTACCACTTACAGAGCTTATCTGAAAATGCTTTTCTTAAACATTTTCTTTATAAATAATAAACTGCAATAAACTTAATAATCTAATCCCTAAACCACCATATACAAATCAGTCAATAAAAATCCTAAATAAACCCATAGACACAATCATAAATGGTTCTGGAAACTATACATTTAAAAGAAAGAGACATGCTACTGCTAAAGATAGTACACTGAAGACTGAAGTTCTAGTATCAGTCAGTTCATAAACACTGAAGAATTTCTGATACAAACAGGTACTGACACATGTATGAGACAATGGAGAAAGTGTTAACATTGGATATTCAATGTGAATGACATTGTGTTTGTGTTTTTAAAAAGACACTGCAATTCTATGGGTGCAATGGTATCTAGAGTTTACCTTAAGATAAAGGAGGGGAAGAATACAGAAGGAACAAGACTACTCATGGCCTGTAGCTGTTAAATGACTTACCAACTTTGTGTGTTTGAAAACTTCCCTAAAGATAAAAAATAAATAAATAAATAGCAACTGCTTGTGAGCAAAATCTCAAGCACTGCTTTGTTCTCTGGGTTATATACAACTTTTGCACAAATTTCTTAATTCCTTCCATTTGCGCAGAGAATTTTCCCTCAACTGTACAAACCAGCCAAAGAGCTATGTCATTGCCAGTATCCTCAATACTTCCCAAATGAGCACTAGCTCAGCCCATCTACTTCAAAAGCTTGGGGGTAAGGGAGATGGCACCAAGAGGAAATGAGGAAGGCAAACAACAATGAACCCACCCAAACTGTTACCACAAAGAGTGCCCACCTCTTAAAACCAATTAATCCATGCTGGCATTTCAAAAAGGACTACTGTCTTCTAGCTTACTTCACTACACTAAACATCCATACTGACCCAGGAGATACAAACAACCCAACTACTGTATAACCAGGTCAAAAACAAGCCCTGGCTAACTCACTTCGAAGAGTATACTCACCACTTAGATTTGGCCAGAAAAACTAGGTTAGAAAAAATCGGCCTGGTGCTTAAACAAACACTGGGGTTAGACAGCTGTCTTTAAGCCAGTTACCAGCCACTCAGCGAGTTGCAACACTATCTTTCCCAAAATTTTCCAAAGCCTTCCAAATTCAGTTGAGCCCAGCAGACTGAGTTTAACAGGGCTCTCTTTCAAATTCAAAAAACTGGCCCTGGCCCCAACAGTTAACCAACAAAACACATGCTAATTCACTTGAGATTGTCTAAGAAGACCAACTCAAGTTCAGACCACAGGCCAATCGGTACACTGCCCAGTCCAAGGGAAGCTGGGGCTGGGGAGAAGCATTCAAACCCTATTCATACAGCACAAAAGGGACAATAGGATCCACACTTAATTTGGCCTAAGAACACATCTACAGCCAGTGTTCAACCCCCACCCCCAATTTTTAATGAAACAACGACAGTTCTTCATGGTGAGCCACAAAGCCCTGCTTCACAGTTTTTTCCTAGCCCAACCTCGTACCCTCTTTTAACAGCCAGAAAACTGCCCCAGTACAGATAACTTTCGGAAAACATTCAGCAATAAGAAATCAAGACAGAAAGAATTTAACATTTTCTTGAATTCTCGAGACCTAAACCTCCATAACCTACAGCTTTTTCCTAATGTCTGGAGTGCACTGAACAAAATGAACACCACACTGTTAGTCACATCAGGTGTCAGTCAGCACTCAGCACAGACTCAGTCTCCAGATTTCTTAGTTTCATTTGCAGCTTGGGGGTGGGGGAGGAGTAAAATTTAAAGAAAGACAGACCTGGGGTGGGTGTGAAACCAGGGCATCCTCTCTACAGCTCTCTCCCTCATCTCTGTTTCAATTACACAGCTGTCAAACAGGTTATTCCTGGAATTCAGATGTTTTAATCCCCACACTGTAATTCTTCCTGCTGCTGTTGTCCAAACACACACACACACTCCTGCCTGCTTTCCCAAAAATCTGTACCCATCAGGACAGGGCAAGGATGGCCAGGGCTAGAAAGCAGTCCGGGCAACACCAAACTCCCCACCTGGAGCACTTGGCAAGCAGCAAGATGACCATTTCCAAGACGGCCAAGGCAGTGGTGGAGGGTCATCACAGGCAAAGCCGCCCCTCCTGAATTCTAATTCACAAACTCAGGTGGCCAGATTTGGAGAAAAAGAAGAAAAACAAAACAAGAAAAACCTAAAGGTGTCTTAGAGACTAAAAAAAACCCTTTTGCATTTTCCTGCAGAAAAGTGCATGCCTAACAGTGGAGCCTATTTCCTTATCTCAAAGCCAGGAAATGAGGTCTTTTCAGGCCGGTCTGAATATAAACTCGGTGTTTGAACAGCGATGCGAACCCCCCCCAACTTAGGCCAAGCGGCGTGGCCTCCCGTCAGCAGCGTTTGTCACCCCGTCCCTCGTCCCCCAGCCAGAAGTTTCAACACGCCACGGGAAACAAAGAAGGCGCCCCACACCGACCTTATAGACTTGTCCATAGGTGCCATTTCCAACCACTTCCACCAGCTCGAAAATCCCAGCAGGGTCCTGGAGAGGAAGGAGGGGAGGGAGGGGTCAGCATTTGCAAGGAGACCCCCAAAATGCACACGGAGGCCGGGCAGCTGGAGAGAAAGGGAGGCGACAAAAGGGGTGGCCTCGCCCCGCTGGGCCACCCCCACCCCCGGAGGACCGCGCGGGGCCCCGCACTTGGCGACCCCGCAGACAAAGGGGCCGCCGCGCCCGCGGCTCTGCCCACCGCGGCGCCCACAGCGCCGGCCAGGGCGCGGCCCCCACTCACCCGCAGCGAGGAGAGGTCGATGTCCACCAGACTTTTTGCAGGGGAGTCGTTCGCCATCTTCGCTTTTTACCACCCCGAAACAAATACTAGCGATCAATCCGCCCGTGGCTCGGTGGGTGCTTGCTGCACACCAGGCCGCCGTCGGCGCGGCTCGCGCTGCAGCAGGGCCGGGCCAGCCCGGGACTCTCTCCTCGGGGCCGGCGGTGGCGGCGGCCGCTCGCGGCTCTCGGCCGCCCGGGGGGCCGCGCGGAGGGCGGGCGGGCAGAGCGTGCGCGGGCGGCGGCGCTCACACCATGGCGCGGCCCGGCCCGGCCATCAGGCCCCTGGGCGTCGCCCGCCGCCTCAGGCCCCGGCGCCCGCGCCCCGCGCCGCGCGCCTCGAGGACGGGCCCGGAGCGTGGGGCCGCGGCGCCGCCGAGAGTTGAGCGAGCGAGCGAGCGAGCGGGCGAGCGCGAGGCAGCGAGACAAAGATAACCCGGGAGGCGGAGGCGGAGGCGGAGGCGGAGGCGGGCAGGGAGGCCGGGAGGCAGGGAGGCGGGGAGGGAGGGGGGCGGCGGCGGCGCTGGAGGAGGAGAAACGGGACACCAAAAATATATTCTGCGGAGGGAGAGAGAAAACAGCTCCCCCTTTCCTTCTCGAGCAGGAAAAACGGGCGGAAACGCGCTCACACCCCGAAGCCCCGGCGGGGAGGCGCGCGGCGAGGCGCCCGCGCGGCGTGAATATTCATCAGGGGTGGGGCCCGAACAATGGCCGGGCGGCGGGCAGTGGTGGCGATGCGCGGCCGGCGCCCTGGGTGGGGCCTCGCGCCCGACCCGCACGGCGCTCCCGGGAGCGGGGACGCGGCGGGCTCGGGTTTCCCGCGGGGGAGGTGCCCGGGACCCGGAAACGCCCTTGCCTCGCACCAACAGTCACTGCGAGGACATTGACTTGGACCCCAAAACCCAGAGGCCGGCGGACCCTCGCAGCGCCCGGGGAAAGGGTGTGTCAGCTCTGCCCGGCTCTGAAGGGGCTGGAGCGGGGTCCAGATGGCGGCCTCCCCGTTCACCCACCTCTCTCCATCCGCCACCCCTGCCCCCCGCGTAGAGCACCCTGGAGACCCCCGTTTCCGGTTTCCCTACACGAATTTCTTTCTTTTCCAGGCTGAATTTGTGGCCCGGGTTAGTTGGGGAATTTGCTGAGCATCACTTGGCTGCCCGGCCAAACCCAGAGGAGTTCCTGGCACTGCCTGCTGCAGCGTTCCCGATCGCGCGCAGTGGGCAAGCCCTGTTTGGGACCCACTGCTTTATACCTGGACGTCACTAAAGGTCAACACACTTCTTTCTGCCTGCAACCTTGGATGTGTAAGTGGTCAGGAGTTGGGCAGTTCAATTCTGTCTCATCAACAGACACCTATGTCATATCCCTGCACCAGTCATTGCTCCCTATTTCCCTACAGCAGGTGTTCTCAAAAGTGAGTACCTCAGGATCACCAGGAGAGACTGTAAAAGCCCTGACTGTAGGGCTCACCTCCAGAGTTTCAGGTCTAGGACAGCTGGAGTGGGCTTGAGAATATGCATTTCCGGCAAGTTCTCAGATGAACCTAAGGTTGCTGTCACAAAAATCACAGGCCTCCTGAACAGAGGACCCCACCACCACCACCAAGGCCTTTGATAACTGAGCTTCACAAACAAGGCATTCTCCTTATCTTTATTATCTCACAAGTCTGATGCACCTACTTTCCACTTGCACGTGCATTGTGCTGGATGCTTTACATACAATATCCAATTTACTGCCCTGGGGTAAGGAAACCAAAGTATTGAAAGACAAGGAATGAGCTGGTGCCCTAAACAGCCTATTCTACAAAGGGAGCAGTGATTCTCTCCAGGTCCTCCTCTTCCCTAAGTTGAAGTCTCTGCTTCAGCCAAATTCCTCAGCCCTACCAATATGTGTAGTACTCCTCTGCTTCCCAGCAATTTGGTTGACATGAAACACTTGTAAGGTTAAGATATATTCAGGCAGTCCTGATATTCACCAGTGAGGAAACTCAAAGTAACCAAAGTATTTCTAGGAATTTATTAGTGCTTTTAATTTTGGTTTTTATCAATCAACAGCAGTGGTGTGTCTAGGAGTAAAAATTAAATTACTTATTCAGAGAACTAGATCGGTCCACATCTGAACTTTCCTACCATATTATTAGTAATAGGATTTTAATAGTGTTTACTATTAGTAATAGATAACACATATTGGGCTCAATGTGCTGAGTACTTTACATGTGTTATCTCATTATTCACACTAACATCAAATGGTAATCTTATTTTCCCACTTACACATGAAGAAACCAAATCTAAACAAGTTAAGTAACTTGCCCAGTGTGCACAACTGGTCCTGATACAGAAATGTCATGGACCCCCAAGGCAGCTCCTTCCACAGATTCTATTCTAAACCCAGTGAGACTCACATCAGACTACCTCTTCCTCTCTGCCTCTCCAAACTTCCTCCATCACCTCAAGCCCAGCTCAGAACCATCTCTTCCTACCACAGGCTTTCTCTAAATCCCCCTCCCTCCTGGGCTGCTATTCCATTATCACCATCGGGACAGTTATTTCCCACTTCCAAGTCAGTACCTATTCCTGAAGGGGCCTCCCAGTGCAAGGCACTAGCTTAGCTGTTGCCCAGGGGATCAGGAAGAGCAGCGCTGCCCTCAGAGAGCTCACAGTACAGTGGGCATAAGACAATCTCATAAGTAACCATAACACAAGCAGAACATGGCAATTTCCAGCAAGATGGAAAGAGCACTAAACAGGTTACTATTAGCTATGCTGGATTTGAGACAAAATCCAGCTTAAACCTTAGTACTATTACTTATCAGTTGTGTAAGATTGCTCATGTTGCTTAACTTCTGAGCCTGTTTCCTCATCTATATACTAGGTAAAGACTGGTGATAAGAAGAACCAATAGAAAGTAAGATGAAGTCCAGGGTGGTTCGGCCTGGTGGCAGGGCTATAAAAGGTCTAAGACCTGGCATCTGATGAGATGCCAGAAGGCAGCATAGACAAGGAGGTAAAGATTTGCTTGTGTTCAGAGGCTTGTTCATACTCTCAAAGATGTTGCCATGAGCAGGTGGGAGCTGCTGGATAGTAGTGACAAAAGAAGGTTTGCTTTTGAACTCAACACCAAAGTTAATGAACTTTTCATGCAGGAGCAGTATACATCTATCTGTAGATGTAAACTCCACTCCAGCTCCCAGGCTATGGCCTGTGATTTCAATGCCCAGGCTGCCACAGTAAAATAACCATATACTTGGAGGCTTAAGTACAATAGTCCCCCCCTTGTTTATGGTTTTACTTTCTGAGGTCCCAGTACCTGAGGCCAACTACAATCTGATAATATTAAATGGAAAATTCCAGAAATAAATTTCATAAGTTTTAAATAAACTTGTTCTACTTTATTATTGTTCTTAATCTCACTGTATCTGACTTCTATGTTAAACTGTATCATAGGTATGTATTGTAAAAGAACAGAATAGATAGACACACACACACACACACACACACACACACACGTGGTTCCACACCATCCAAAATTTTAAACATCCACTGAGGGTCTTAGAATGTATCCCTCACAGATAAGGGTGGGGGGGGCCTACTAGAACAAAAAATTACTATCTTATAATTCTGCAGACTAGAATTCCAAGGCCAAAGTTCTAGGCTATTCTCCTCTTATAAGGGCACAAATCCTGTCCATCTGGGTTTCACCCTTATGACCTAGATTGACCTTAATTACTTCCTTAAGGCCCTATCTCCAAATATAGTCACATGGTGGGGCAGGTCTAGGTCTTCAATATATGAATGAGGGGGAGCACAGATAATCCATCTGTAAGAAGCCTTAGGAAGTACATGATACCAAAAAGTAGATTTGTCATGGTCCTTATCCTTAAGAATCTATTTGATGACACAAACCAATCCAAGAAGATGATACATTGGAAAATAAAAGCCAATTTGGCATTTTAGATCAGAGGAGAAAATCGCTTGCTTGGACAAAGAATGAGAAGTTGAAAGAATGAGAAGAATGGCCAGGCAGATAACTCAGTTCAGGGAGCCCTAAGAGAGTCTGTTAATCAGCTTTCCATTACTGAAATAAGTACCTGATATACTCCACTTGTAAAGGGAAAAGGTTTTTCAATCCATGATAGGTTGGCTATACTACTTTTGGAACTAAGGTAAGACAACATGACAGAGCAGCCATTCACCTGATGATGGCTAGAACTAAAGAAGGAGAAAGGGGTAGGGTCTCATTGTGCTCTTCTTGGGTCAGTGACCCAAGACCTCCCACTAGGCCCCACCTCTTAAAGTTTCCACCACCTCTTAATAGCACCACTCTTGGGACTAAGTCTTTAACACATGGCCTTTGAGAGACACTTAAGAGCTAAACCATATTATAGAGTAAGACAGGTTAGGTGTAACTAAAAGACAAAACTGAAGCAGGGACACAATGTGGAGGTTGAAAACTAACCTCAGACTATCAGTCAAGTGGGCAGCAGCCTGACTTTGGCTCTCCAAGCTTGGACAGCAGGTATCTTCGTTCATTTTGTGCTTCTGTTACAGAATGCTGAAACTGGGACAGTTGCAGAGAACGGAAACTTTATTTTTTTGGAGGCAATGGGTTTTGAACCCAGCCTCACGCTTGCTAGGCAGGCATTCTACCAATTGAGCCACTCTGCCTGCTCTATTTTGTGGTTTTTGTTTGTTTTTTTTTTTTTCAGATGGGGTCTCAAAACCTAGGCTGGCTTTGAACCTCAATCCTCCTTATCTCTGCCTCCTGAATAGCCACCTTCACCTGACTAACTTATTTCTTATAATTCCAAAGATTTAGAAGTCCAAAGTCAAAGAGTCCACATCTGGCAAGTGCCTTCTTGCTGCATCATGTGATGGCAAAAGGATGTGTGTGTGTGTGTGTGTGTGTGTGTGTGTGTACCCATGAGTATGTGGCAGAAAGACACAGAAACAGAGGAAGGGGGCAGAATTCATCCGTTTGTCAGGAGCCTACTTCCACAATAACTAACCCACTCTTGTGATAACAGCACTGATCCCTTCTTAAGGCAGAGCTCTCATTACCTAATCATCTCTTGAAGGTC